GAACGAAAAGTGAAGCCTTCCTGCTCTTCATTATGCACATGCACACACACAATTATACTCATTATTTCACTTACTAACCATACCATCCTGATCTGGTGTAAAGACAGTCCACATACGACTTGGAAAAAAAAAAAGGTATGAATTTGTTTCTTATGCTCACGTACCAACACAACCAACATCTGGATTGCCACTATAGCCTGAAGCACAGTTGCAGGAGTAAGAACCGACAGTGTTGGTACAGTCAGCATTCTGCCCACATGGACTGTCCTGACATTCGTCTATATCTGTGAAACAAAGATCAGTAGAGACATTCAAACATTTTGTCGAAGTTCACACTAATCTAGACATGCAACAAAATAAGATTTCCATATTTGTAACACTCTACCACACCTTTACTTTCTTTTCAAGTTTATCTTTCTAATCGGGGAGGGGGAGAGGGATGAACACAATTAATTAAAACAGAATGCAAAATAAAAGAAACACATTACTTATGACTTACCACTGATACCATATCCTGACCTGATGTTAAATCAGTCCAAATACAATTTAACCCCCCCCCCCAAAAAAAAAATCCCCACACAAAAACCCCCCCAAAAAACCAATAAACAAACAACAAAATAAAAAACAAACAAACAATAAAACAAACCAAAAAAAAACAAAACATTATGGCCCTTTGAGTTAATTTTTCTTTTTATATCTGAATCTTCACAGAGAGAGACCATATAACTCAACCATACTGATACAAACTTGCCTCATCTATCTTGCATTAACCCATAATCAGGGGCGTGGCGTCACTTCCAGAGAAAGTGGCGCCAAGAACAAATTTATCGCAACGAATAGTATTGCCTACTTATTACAGGCCTATAAACTGTAGACCTACTATATACGCCTGTTCTTTAATTTTAATACCGATATAGGGACACCTACTTCCATGCGAGAAGAATAGATAAGTGCTGGTACAATCTTTTATATAGATGGAGAGAGAGTTCAGCGCTCAAGATGTGCATAATCACATCACATCGTAATCCCACACAAAACAATAACTTCCAAATGATCAACAGAAAAGCACACATTCACAGTCAAGACCTCGCATGCACTATTGCCCTCTGGGCGTCTTGACATAATGACCCCATTCCCTGATTCCTTGCAGTTCTGGTTTCTAGAAAGCAGACAATAAAACATATTTTTAGACAGTTCACAACCATGCCATGTGGCCATGTCCAGGCTAACTACCACTCCATCCCCTCCCAACCATACAGGCGCCAAATCCATCTTGGCCCTTTGGCCCAACAGTACAATCTTTTAGTGTGATGGGAGTACCTGTTGTAGTATTTTTAGTTGAGTTATGTTCTTGGTGAATCTCTTTTGTCTTCCGTCAAACGTCTGGATGGGGTATTAAAGAAACTATTTTGCTATTCTTGGAAAGAAAACCCTGTTTTCAACTGATTGAACCAAATTGTTTTTGATCATTTTGAATTATTTGACCAGACGTCACACCTAAACAATGAACACCCAGATGGGTTCAGGCAGAGACACTGGTTTAGGTTGGGCCGATCTGGGTTCGGCGCCCTCGGTGAAGTCACACGTAGGGAACGAAAGACGCGGGGAGAATCTCGCGACCGGCAACGGGAGGCTTACCCGCCCTCCTCCCACTAGCCTAATTATTGACACCTTAACTAAAGACTGGAGTACTTACGAATAAGAGATTGGTTTGAAAAAAATATTGTGATATTTGTTAAGTTTTGGAACATCCTATTTTTTTGAAAATCCTTTCTCAATTTCAAAGGGTGGCGCCATGGCGCCATTTGCACTTGGAGAGCCACGCCACTGCCCATAATTCATTCTTAACCTGATGAAAACCAGTGTAGGGGTAATGATAAATCATTCTATAAAGATTCCATAAAGTACTTTTAAAAAAAATCCACGTACCAGTACAGCCACCTGTTGGATCACCGCCATAGCCTGTGGCACAGGCACAGGAGTAAGAGCCTTGGGTGTTGGTACAGGTCTCATTCTGTCCACATGGATTGTTGTCACACTCATCAATATCTGTCAAAAGAACAACAGAGACATTCCAGATTTTGTTAAAATTTGCAAGAAACAAATTACTCTTGTGCATTCATACAGAGGAGACAGCGTTGAGGCCTTGGACACGGTGGAGCCGAACGAAAAGTGAAGCCTTCCTGCTCTTCATTATGCACATGCACACACACAATTATACTCATTATTTCACTTACTAACCATACCATCCTGATCTGGTGTAAAGACAGTCCACATACCACTTGGAAAAAAAAAAGGTATGAATTTGTTTCTTATGCTCACGTACCAACACAACCAACATCTGGATTGCCACTATAGCCTGAAGCACAGTTGCAGGAGTAAGAACCGACAGTGTTGGTACAGTCAGCATTCTGCCCACATGGACTGTCCTGACATTCGTCTATATCTGTGAAACAAAGATCAGTAGAGACATTCAAACATTTTGTCGAAGTTCACACTAATCTAGACATGCAACAAAATAAGATTTCCATATTTGTAACACTCTACCACACCTTTACTTTCTTCTCAAGTTTATCTTTCTAATCGGGGAGGGGGAGAGGGATGAACACAATTAATTAAAACAGAATGCAAAATAAAAGAAACACATTACTTATGACTTACCACTGATACCATATCCTGACCTGATGTTAAATCATTCCAAATACAATTTAACCCCCCCCCCCCAAAAAAAATCCCCACACAAAAACCCCCCCAAAAAACCAATAAACAAACAACAAAATAAAAAACAAACAAACAATAAAACAAACCAAAAAAAAACAAAACATTATGGCCCTTTGAGTTAATTTTTCTTTTTATATCTGAATCTTCACAGAGAGAGACCATATAACTCAACCATACTGATACAAACTTGCCTCATCTATCTTGCATTAACCCATAATCAGGGGCGTGGCGTCACTTCCAGAGAAAGTGGCGCCAAGAACAAATTTATCGCAACGAATAGTATTGCCTACTTATTACAGGCCTATAAACTGTAGACCTACTATATACGCCTGTTCATTTAATTTTAATACCGATATAGGGACACCTACTTCCATGCGAGAAGAATAGATAAGTGCTGGTACAATCTTTTATATAGATGGAGAGAGAGTTCAGCGCTCAAGATGCCCATAATCACATCACATCGTAATCCCACACAAAAACAATAACTTCAAACTGATCAACAGAAAAGCACACATTCACAGTCAAGACCTCGCATGCACTATTGCCCTCGGGGCGTCTTGACATAATGACCCCATTCCCTGATTCCTTGCAGTTCTGGATTCTAGAAAGCAGACAATAAAACATATTTTTAGACAGTTCACAACCATGCCATGTGGCCATGTCCAGGCTAACTACCACTCCATCCCCTCCCAACCATACAGGCGCCAAATCCATCTTGGCCCTTTGGCCCAACAGTACAATCTTTTAGTGTGATGGGAGTACCTGTTGTAGTATTTTTAGTTGATTTATGTTCTTGGTGAATCTCTTTTGTCTTCCGTCAAACGTCTGGATGGGGTATTAAAGAAACTTTTTTGCTATTCTTGGAAAGAAAACCCTGTTTTCAACTGATTGAATCAAATTGTTTTTGATCATTTTGAATTATTTTGACCAGACGTCACACCTAAACAATGAACACCCAGATGGGTTCAGGCAGAGACACTGGTTTAGGTTGGGCCGATCTGGGTTCGGCGCCCTCGGTGAAGTCACACGTAGGGAACGAAAGACGTGGGGAGAATCTCGCGACCGGCAACGGGAGGCTTACCCGCCCTCCTCCCACTAGCCTAATTATTGACACCTTAACTAAAGACTGGAGTACTTACGAATAAGAGATTGGTTTGAAAAAAATATTGTGATATTTGTTAAGTTTTGGAACATCGTATTCCCTTTTTAGAAAATCTTTCTCAATTTCAAAGGGTGGCGCCATGGCGCCATTTGCACTTGGAGAGCCACGCCACTGCCCATAATTCATTCTTAACCTGGTGAAAACCAGTGTAGGTGTAATGATAAATCATTCTATAAAGATTCTATAAAGTACTTTTTTTAAAAATCCACGTACCAGTACAGCCACCTGTTGGATCACCGCCATAGCCTGTGGCACAGGCACAGGAGTAAGAGCCTTGGGTGTTGGTACAGTTCTCATTCTGTCCACATGGATTGTTGTCACACTCATCAATATCTGTCAAACAAACAACAGAGACATTCCAGATTTTGTTAAAAATTTGCAAGAAACAAATTACTCTTGTGCATTCATACAGAGGGGAGAGTCTCTGTCAGTCGCCAGTCATCATTGCAATGGACCCTGATTCCCCTCTTCGCTAGGCCTAATTTTTCTGTTTTAGAAGTATGCTTGCCGAGTTCGTATTTTCCGGGACCTTCCGTACAAAATACAGATGGCCCGGGACAGTGGGCAGCTATGCTGCTGCCACAGC